CACTTAGAGGTCGGAAATTCACAACAAGAAATATTTGTCTTCTTTGTGGTTGTTGAAGTATTGTGCAGAAACATTAAATGCCCAGATTATAAAAACGTATTTATCATCATATGCAGCTTTATCTATGGCGAATAAATGAGATGCTTTTCGATATCCCATGTCCTGTCAGCTCGGCTAGATTTTCAGTATGATCAACCGACAATTTGTACAAAAGTAAAAGGCTTCTGGGACATTTTATACCACTAATTTGTCTCTAGAAGGTGTAAATACTCAAAGGACACATAAATAAATAATTTTTAAATGAGATTTTTTATAAGATTGCTCCAAAAATCTTTATAAAATGTATTCTTACATGTAAGCAGCAGAGGGCATATTGAAGGCGAAATGATGCACTGAGCCCCATTCAACAATTTACACCATCCATGCATCGAATCCAGGTCAAGAGGCAATGGTTCACTTTCAGCAGATGCATTGTATGAATGACAATGGCTGCAGTCCGTTTCCTTCCCCTCATGCGAATAGTTCGACTCGCTCTCGCCGAACGAATCCTCTGCCTGATTCATGGACAGAACATCTTCTCCTGCGGGCAGGTTTCGCTTGAGCCTCTCTTCAATGTCTTTCGTGGACGCACAGCAGAACTTATCCGATTTCTTGAGTGATAACGTCGAGTCGTAATTTTTGGTATGGTCTGTGACTTCATCCCGCCAATAGTCGAGCGGCGAAAGGTTGACCTCGAAGGTAGGCACAGGACATGCGTTTGCTTAAATGATGGAAATAACAGGCATTTATGAGTGGGCTAAAGAGAATTGAAGTCACGATATTCTTCACTTTGAGTGAGACATTAGTGAGTATACTTGTTGGAGGACAACAAAATAGTATTTAGGTAGAATTTCGAGACCACGAGTAAATCAGTAATATGAGATGTATTCATCCAATTTCGTTTAAGGTGATGAAGGACTGGTAGTAGAATTTTCCCAAAATGATATGCGTTGAATTTCAGATTGCCTTGCTTTCCCAAAAGTTGTTCTCATCCAGGTTTAAGTGGACTGCAGTTTCGATCCCGCGTTGGTCTCATCAACACTCCCAGCGGGATTCGAACCATGACAGTGCAGAATGGAAGGTTGACACGTTAACCACTCGACCACTTTGCCACGAGTGCCTTTGGGTCATAGGAAAGATATGAATTTCAAGGAAGGCCGTGCATTTTGCCATATCTTCTTCTTTGGTGGAATTGTCGATGAAGCAAACGTATATTTGCTATAGCAATCGACTACGTTATTTATTTTTAGTACTTTAAGTGGAGTTTCGAGACTACCAGTAAATCAGTAATATGAAATGTTGTAGTCGATTGTCATAGCAAATATACGTTTGCATCATCGACAATCCCACCAAAGAATATGATATGGCAAAATTCACATTTGCCCCATGACCCAAAGGCACTCATGGAAATGCGGTCGAGTAGTCAGCGTGTCAAGCTCCCATTATGCACTGTCACGGTTCGACCTCCGCTGGGGGTGTTGATAAGACCGATGAGAGGTCGAACCTGCAGTCCACTGGTGCCTGTGAAATTCAACAGAAACGTCAGCTCAAATCATATCATTGTGGGAAAATTCTTCTTCTACCAGTTCTTCATCACCTTAAACGAAATTGGGTGAATACATTTTATATTACTGATTTACTGGTAGTCACGAAAACAATAGTTAATTCGAAAAAATATATTATAAAATACATTGCTAATTATGTCTAAATCTGATCCGCCTAGTCGAATCGTGGCAACCTTATTTTAATTGAGAATGAGATCATTATTTGGTTCAATGACGTGTGATTTATAGCGATAAAGGTGTGATCCACACATTACATTACGGAGTGTTGTGTCAGAGTGAATAAATAACCCAGATGGAACCATATGTGTTAGAAGAGAACTAGACTTGCTCACTTCCATCCTTCTCAATTAAGGCCCAGATTCCTTAAAGCCAAAAAGCATTTAGTCGGAAGAGATAACCTTTCAGACAAATGTTAAAACATAAGGCAGGTGAAGATTGTAAAATTTCCGACCATTACTCTTTGCATTACAGAGGAATTTCTTATTGCTCCTTAGTCGAAATGTACATATAAATAAGCTCCAACAGTAAGATCATTGGAAGGGTAAATTACACATATATCAATTGTACGTACTACAGCAAATGTAAAAAACTGCAAAGTACCTTTTCACTTCCTATGACGGTGCAAGCAACGAGAAATTGGAGCTCGTTTCTTTTCTGCTTCACTTAAACGAATTTAACCTCAACATTTCCGGAGTATGACTCAGTTAAACCCTTTCATCTTGCGGCCATTGGACTTAATGATATAGTCACTCCAATAGGAACGGATACGAACTGGCTCCCTTTCGGAGCTTTGCCGCGATTTTCTGCCACAACTAAACTGTAATGCTAGTTAAGTCATCCGAGAAAAAAGTATGTATAGACTTCAAACTCACCACACTTTGAGTCCTCTCGCATTTTTATCTCTTCGGACTCAAAGTTTTCTGACTGAGTCTGATCCATTGTCCGATATGTTCTGTGATTTAACTTCGTTTCTACATTATTGTCTACAGCATTTGCTGTTTTAAGCCTATCCACCTTCTGTTCCTTGATTACGTCAACCGGCCTTATTGGATCGGTGTTATGCTCTTCTATGATGTCCTCATCTTCAACCTCTTCACCTGCCTCATCCTCGGAATCAGCCATCTCCTCAAAGACGACGGGAATCGTGGCACGAAAAACAAATACAATTGGAGATTGTACAATTTGTAGAATCCGTCTGAAGTGGGACTGATCCTGCCAGGCTTCTATATCAATTGGTATCATAGTGTAGATCAGGTGGTGCCACATACTGCGAGAGGCCCATAAAAGCATGCGCATTGAAAGATCCGGCATAGTGGGCTCTTCTGGCTCTTCTTCTTTATCCATATCCTCATCATCCACATCTTCCATCTCATCTTTTTTACCTTCTTCATCTATGGCACCCTTAAGCTGATGTGCAAAAACTATTTTATCCTCTTTAACACATGTATTGCTTTCCAGACTCGCTGCTGTCTCATCTTTCGAAGCAGATTTTTTTATTGCTCTTTTTATCTTCTTGACAATGTCCTTTTTTCGATGGTTCGACTTAATTTCCCTTTCATCCCTTTGCTCCCTCGACTGTTCGTCATCCATTTGGAATCCTCGATTACTTCTGGCGCTTGATGCGCACCCCGAAAAGCCTAAAGACTCTTTGCGATGCGACCTGATTGCCTCTGCGCCAAGTCTTTGACAGTGGATGGGCTTCACAAGTTCTTCGTTTACGTGATGATTTGTAGCAGTGCGTGTCTTTTCATTGGCCAAACCTTTGTATTGCTCTATTTCATCATTGTCATCCGCTCCATGAAGTCTTGAATCCTTCATTAATGGAAGAGTTTTGAAAGATATTGAGTTTTTGAGGTTAGCGGTTGTTGCAGCCGAGTTCATAACGGAGGGGTAAGCGTTGGTCGTGTTGATGACAATCGAAGGTATTGGGATTTGGGATGAGTCTGAACTAGCCCTTTTGGTACGAGTAAGGACTGATGTCTTGGAGATTGAAGATGCGGGCCCCTGCACTAAAGCATGCACGCTGACCGTCAATCCGGACGATACGCCGAAATTGGGGGGGCCAGAACGGATACAGGATTTAGGGTAGGAAGATTCGGGTGGATAGACCTGGTTTGGAGAAGCCAAAAGATGGCCGGGTTGTACAAATTGGGTTGTGTCGAAACGAAGTGCACTCGTAGGGCCTCGATTTGCGCCGTCATAAAGTCCTGATTAGATGAAGGCAGAAGAAGACTGAATCAAACGAAAGATAATATTGCATATAGCTTTGGATTTTGCAAAAGACTATAATTCAAGTTTAGTTTTTAGCCTATTTCACTTATTATTATTTCTTTCGGCCCATTTGACTTCCTAGCACAACGGACATACGTAAAGCCAGAAGGTGTAAGTGTACCAGGCCGCAGCCTCCACTCTTTCCTTCATTTGCTATTTGCAACATGGCTCATTTAATTGTATAAGCGACTATGCTACCCACTGTAGCATGGGGTATTCATATTTTTTCTAATCACATAATGAATCTAAATAAAGAAATAAGTAAAAAGTTATCTGGATGATTTTACTTGTGCCTCGGATGAGTTGAGGGCAAAGTCTATGCGGTTTAGCCATGCGAAATGTGAAGATTAATCAAATAAATATTAAGTTGTAAAATCTCAATTTAATATCTCCATTGTCTGCATGATCATTTCCAAAGTTGAACTGTGAATGTGGTACATTTCCAAACGTTTCGCCGGCATCGTCAGTGAGTATCGCCATTCTTAGCACTACACAACAACTTGTCAAAGTGACAAGTGAAGCGCATCCTTTGCCCAAACGTGTGCTAAACAATTGTGGTATCTCCCCATCCGCTTTGGGCTATTCGCGTTTCTGGTAGCATCCTATCATGCCTTCACTATTACAATTTTTACCGTGTCTAGCACACGTTTGGTCAAAGAATCGGCTTAATTAGTCTCTTTGACGAGTAGTTGTGTGGCGCTAAGAATGGCGATACTAACTGACGATGCTGGCGAAACGTTTGAAAATGTACCACGTCCACGGTTCAACTTTGGAAATGATCATGCACACAATGGACTCCGGACTAGGTGCGTTCCTCTAAGTCTTCCTACCGATATAACCGAGTTGCGATAACAAGGTCAAACAACCTCTATACCACGAAAGGAGACTGCGACCACACAAAAGGCCACACCATCTTGGTCTTCATACCTTTGATTGATATCTCCAAATTTACTGTACAAATGGAACTAAAGAAGGCAGCTGATTATCCTATATGCCCTCATGTTGGCCCAATTACATAAGGTTCAGTAAAGACCTACTTGACCTTGCTCAGAAATGCATATGCAGTTCTTCCAAAATGGAATAATGGCCATAGAAACTTGGATTAGCTTAATATCAGGGCCCAGTTGAGAAGGTCTCCTATTGTCGTATTCTAGAGCTATCTTGATGCCATAAAAGTATGCGGCAGCTCAAAAGTGTGGCTCGAATTTGTCAGAGGTCATTAAATAAAGACTTTTAAAGACACTTTCTATTGTAGCCTCATAATTCGCATCCCATCTCAAGAGGCCGAAATGTTGGCGCTTACTCACACAATCGCAAAAACGTGCCTACATCACAAAGAACACTGGTCCCATTCATTTGCTCAAAGAGTTGCTAGGACTTTCAGTTAGATTTCCATAAACCAACAAGTCAACGGCCTCACAACTTCAGTCGGCTTTGCCCCCCAAAAGCCTGTCAACTCAAATCTTGAGCCAAAATTGATCCCTCCTGGGCCTCGATTGCTCCTGCAACGAGATATGAAACTTGGTCGTTCCCATCTACCATACAAAAATGGATCAGTTGGAAGATATGACTTTCAAGGTAAGTCAAGGCCTAACATATTCACAGTTTATGGTGTAACGGGTGTCAAGAAGGCGAAATTTTATTTTATATGAGAAATAAAGATAGATTTATTAGGTTTCAAGACTATCAACACATCTTGAACATGAACCCGTCTGTTTCGGCTGAAACTGCAATCCAGCCTGGATGAGTAAGGTTGGACTAAATTTCATGGAATATATTAATTTTATTGTAGAAACTTCAGCCATTGCTCATTAAGCTTGCTCAGCTGACCTATGGGGACCCAGGCAAACATTTAAGATCAACTGATATTGGCATTGTAAATCAAGACTTATCACCTTCATGGGGAGGCAGGTATCTTGTACTTTAAGAAAATATCGCTAAACTTCATGCCCTTATCGCAGTGGATAGTCTGTTTAGACTGTCAGTGAATCTCATTAGAAAGTAAATGTTTGTGTTTTCAAGACTAATTCTAGTAGCTTTAACAAACAATCTGAAAGAAACGTCTCATTTGTTCATATGGATTTTACACTTCTGTTGAGAAATGGTTCACAAAACAACTCTTGAAGAACAAAAAGTCTATTTATACCACCGATAGGAGATTGAGATAATGATTATGCGCTTAAAGAAGGTACCCCATTGAAGTGCCGCTTTTAAACATATATCCCCTACCTCCCCGTGAAACGATTAACAATCAGGAAGAGACAACGGTCAACAAGACATTTGGCCGCACATTAATTAACTAATCAAAGTAGCCAATCGACCATCTCTTTGACCTTGACCGTGGTTACCGATGACACAAAATATGGAAATTACTCAATGATTTTGAGAGCTAAAATGAACTTCATGTTGATTGAGGACTTAAAATAAGTATGGAAGAGAGGCTCAAGTTGCTGCCTAACTATAAAAGATTGGTGATGTAAGCCTAACATATCGAAACCGATGTAAATGGGCTGCCCAGAGAGATTTCCTATTACTCGCCTTTTAGTGCGGTAAGTAGGTAAACTAACAAGACACTAGAAGAGCATCAATTGAAAAAGATTAAAATTCAGAAGTAGGGCATATTAAGGAGCTCTCGGCTCCAGCTAAAATAGTGATAAAATGAAGAAGCAAGTTTAAAAGTATAGTCTATTATTGATGATAATGCATTATCGAGTGATGTTTATTGAAGAATCAAGCCTTTTTCAAGATTCCCTATTATTTTACTTTAGGCGCCAAGAAAATACTCA